ATACAAATTCATATCATATACATTCAAATCAAATAACAAATAAAAAGAGGAAATAGAAATATATAAATGTATATAAATGATTAAAACAAATGGCATTAAAATATCACAATTCAATAAAGCTAATTAACAATAACTTATGAAATAAAAGAATGAAATAAAACGAATATATTTTTATTTACAATAATGAATATAATAAATTCATACAATTACTTTCAGATTAATGTTTAAAATACCAAATCAATTATCAACTAACGATAATACATGAAATAATAGAATGTGAATAACATAAAGAAAACAATTCAAATACAGAAATAACAATTCAAAAGCAATAAATCAAATTAAATAATATGGCATGTCATTAATACAACGCATAAACTACATAACAAATATGTAAATAAAATATAACAAACAAAACAATCAAATAAACAAATGAATTAACAATAAAAATACAAAATGAAATAAAGAAAATAATAAATAATGAAGAGTATGAAAATATTAACATTATGAATCCATAATAACATAACATTTCTCATTTATTTAATATCATTAATATTAACATTTTATTTATTGATTTTTATTTATGAAATATCAACAGTTAATAATTTGGATAATAAAATAATTTGAATAATAAGAATCAACATAATTGAATATTTAATGAATAAATTTAGTTAATAATCTCACTATTTATCGAATTAATCGCACTAAAATACAAACAAATACTTCTAATGATAAATAACTATTAATTAAACACAAATGAAGATAAGAATGAATAATAACATGAATATGAATACGAAATGCAAAGAAGAATAAATAATAAATATTCAAAATATTCCATAAAACATGAATCAATATTTTATTTATATTCTTCATACTTCATTTATTTCATTGATTATATTCTAATTGATAAAACAAAATAAGAAGAATCATAAAAACAGTAATAATTAATTGAAATAATATAAGAATAAGAACCAATAATCAAACAATTATAAACACAACAATATGAAATACTATGTTACAATATGATTAACTAGAATACGTAAGAATAATAAACAATAAAGATAATACAAACAAATGAAATAGAAGATAATTGTACATGATAAATA